AGATTTACCGGACTGGCAGATTGGTGTTCTGGGCAGTACGTCTGAAGTTATTATTCTCAACACATCTAAAAATGACGATGTTCAAATGTTTTGGAAATCACTTAGAAGTCGCACACAGAAGGATGCTGATATTCAATCAACAGATATAAACTTACATATGAAAAGGGTTTCTAAGGGGAAATATGCATTTGTATCTTCGGAGGGTGGTGAACGCATGAAAATTCACGGAGACTGTTCACTAGAATTTAATGACCGTCTATTTAATGTTCCAAATATTGAATACTCCATGGCAGTCCCAAAAGGCTCTCTTTTGAAGACGGAAATAGATGATTTTGTAGATAAAATTGAGAATAGTGGTTTACTTGATGAAATAATGAAACCACAAGATAATCGCCAATCTCAATGTGGAGTAATAGATCAAACAGTCAAACCCCTTTTCTTGGATAATGTCAAAGGTGTATTTGTTTTACTCGCTGGTGGTGTGGTTATAGCTGGCATAACGTTGGTGATCGAAAATGTGCGGCACTATAGACGGGCTTCAGGTACAATACGGTGATGTTTTTTTTTATTGATGTTATGGCATGTGTTGTTGATGTGTTTTTCTTTACAATCAGCTTTGTGTACTGTTTGGTAAAATCCAGCAAGTTTGGTAAAATCTAACAAACTTTGTGTTTTCTTTTATAAATACAAGCTTTGTGGTTTTTTTTATAAATACAATCACCTTTGTGTACTGTTTGGTAAAATCCATCAAGTTTGGTTAAATCGAACAATCTTTGTGTTTTCTTTTATAAATACAATCAGCTTTGTGTACTGTTTGGTAAAATCCAGCAAGTTTGGTAAAATCTAACAAGCTTTGTGTTTTCTTTTATAAATACAATCAGCTTTGTGTACGGTTTGGTAAAATCCAGCAAGTTTGGTAAAATCTAACAAGCTTTGTGTTTTCTTTTATAAATACAATAAGCCTTGTGTACTGTTTGGTAAAATACAACAACAAACGAAAATTCCCAACCAATAAAATTAATGTTAGTTTATTATACCATAAATCTCATTTCGGGAGTCCTAGACAAATCTCTCCATCCTGTGAGTTGGTTTATTTTGCTGATACACCCAAAAGCCTATTTTACAAAGGTAAACCTATTTCGTAAACTAGCCGTTATGATTTGGAATCTGACACATGTGTCAACAGCATTGTATGAGCTCTAGAAAATTTTACAATTATGTAATATTCTATTCTTGATAGAACTATCTTTGTTGACAGCTAACAATTGAGGTTTGCTTTGGTTTTAACCACCAGTCTGATGAAGGCCTTCCCACTTATTGATCTGCAGTTCATTTTGAAATCATTACAATAAAATAAAATATTGAAAATCCCAATACCCATTTGGGAATATTAATGCTACAGATGATCGTCCGAATCTGTAATCAAAACTTCCGTGGGAAAAATCTTCATAAAGTAATGTGCCTTTTTTAAGATGTTCCAAACAGAGTCCAATTAAAATTCTGACAAACGTTCAAGAGGACTGTCTTTAGATCCTAACTGAAGTGGCTATATAAAAAATTAAAGTTAATAAAAAATCGAAACATTGGTTTAGCCTCATTTTAACTAGACTGTTCTGAAGCAGGCTGGAAACGGGTATTATTTTTTCCTGATGGATACATCCTTCCTGTGGTTAGTGTTTTATGAGCCACAAAAATCAATTATATACATTTCAGATAATTAACAAATGTTACGTATTTTGCGTTTTTAGAACTTTGATAAAACGCATTTCTATTGATTATGTGTCAGGTCATGGTTTTGATTCAATAAAATGAGTGAAAATTCCGAATTTCTGCTAATATATAGGCAAAGAGTGAGAATCATATCAAATGACATAGTGACTAAAATCGCTTTACTATTAATGTATTGAGCACTATTTTAACAGTGAAAATATTTTTAGTGACTAATAGATGTGGATATTGACCCATCCATCTTGTATACAGTTATAATGTTCTTTTATATTTCATCAATAATAAAATTGTCATAATTGTATTTGTTCAACGAGGACTAGAACTTCTCTGTTTTAAATGACGTTTGGTGTACCCTGTGTATATATCGTATGAGCATTGCATTGTGTACGTTGTGTTTTTGAAGCAATTTGCAAAAGGGAGGTGAATTAAGGTAAATCTCATTTAGGACAGTCTTAATAGGAGCTTGAGAAATCATTCAAAAACGATTCTAGGAATAACTAACGTTAAGATAGTGTGAATGATCTGGAAATGGCTGCATTCAAATTTACAATGTTATTAATTTTGTGTATAGGGACATATTCTTCCGGAGGTAATTCAATTACACAAGTAAACACATTTCAAGTCTCCGACGTCATATACCTTTTACAGCAGTTGTCCTGGAAAAAAATTGTGATTGTTCACGACAGTGATTCCGATGAACAAGCCTCTGAACTGGTATCACACACTCGGGGACATCCTGTTTACAGTTGTCTCATTATCCAGAAGCGAAGAGAACGATTTTCTTCTGTTAATATACAGAAAGCATTTATACAAGTTCATGAACATTGTAAGGTTAATCGCAACCAAATGTTCTTTTGCTAATAGCAGTTTTGATTTGGTACCATCAGGGACATCAGAAATCTTACTTAATACCAAGATCTAAGTGGCTTATATTTCCTTCAAGCTGGTGTAGCTCTTTCATGACATCAGGATTCCAGACCAATTTAACGAACGTGGCAGTAGTGATTCCCAGTAACAGTCGGTGTATAGGAATTCTGACTCTGAACGGTAATATGTTTGAATCAGTTCAAGGAGTGCCGACTGGTGAGAAAATATTTCCCAACATACGCTACAAATTGAACGGAAAGAAAATAATAATTGGCGTAGTCCCGGACAATCCGTTTGAAAAGAATTATTATAATATTCTTCATACAATGAGTCGGTATTTAAATTTTACATACGATATTGTGAATTCAACAAATAGCGAATATGGTATTCTAAGGAATGGAACATGGTCCGGATTGGTTGGGCAACTTGTCAACCACGAGATCGATCTGGGACTTACGTCGTTATCAACTATCGAAGATCGGCGCAACGCAGTAGATTTTATAAACCCTTTTGGAACGTCAAAACCTGGAATATTGTACAAGAGAGAGTTACTGGTGGGTGATTCGTGGTTTCTCTTAACTCGACCTTTACAATTTAAAGTCTATCTCTGCACCATAATATCTTTTATCTGCGTATCCTTGTTTTTTATATTCCTCTCTAACAGAGAGTCCAATGATCAACATGGTAATCGTATTGCCAACACAGTAGAATTTGTTTTAGCTGCCCTACTTCTTGAAGGAGGTAATTTTCATCTAAAGGGAACCTCTGCTCGGATTCTGTTTTCTTTTTGGTTGATGTTTGGTGTTGTGTTGGCAGCGACTTACACTGCGACCTTATTACGGTCACTTGTACCTAAACAAAAGGAACCGTTTGAAACTATTAAAGGCCTCTTAGATTTACCGGACTGGCAGATTGGCGTTCTGGGCGGTACGGCTGAAATTATTGTTTTCAACACATCTGAAAATAACGATGTTAAAATGTTTTGGAAAACCCTTAATAGTCGCACTCAGAAGGATGCTAATATTCAATCAACAGATACAAACGTACATATGAAAAGGGTTTCCCAGGGTAAGTATGCGTTTTTGACTTTGGACGGTCGTGCAATCATAAAAGTCCACGGAGACTGTTCACTAAAATTTAATGACCGTCTATTCAATGTTCCAAGTACTGAATACTCCATGGCAGTCCCTCAAGGATCTGTTTTGAAGACGGAATTAGATGATTTTGTAGATAAAATTGAGAATAGTGGTTTACTTGATGAAATGATGAAACCACAAGATAATCGTCCATCTCAGTGTGGAGTAATAGATCAAAGAGTCAAACCCCTTTTCTTGGATAATGTCAAAGGTGTATTTGCTTTACTTGCTGGTGGTGTGGTTGTAGCTGGCATAACGTTGGTGGTCGAAAAGGTGCTGCACCTTAGACGTGCTTCAGGTTCAATACGGTGACGCTGTTTTTAAATATTGACTTGTTGATGCGTTTTTCTTTACAATCAGCTTTGTATACCGTTAGCAAAGTACAACACGCTTTGGGTACTGTTTGATAAACTACAGCAAGTTGGTCTAAATACAACAAATTTTTGTATTGTTTGGTAAAGTACAACACGCTTTGTGTACTTTTGATGAAATACAACAAGCTTTGTGTACTGTTTAGACAAAACTGTCTTGCTTTTCGTGAAAAGTGTACACTATAGCTTAAGGTTTCGCACTGTCCTACTGTTTGCTAAAATACAACAATCACTGTGTGCTGTTTGGTAAAGCACAACCCGCTTGTGTACTGTTTGGTAATACATTAAGCTTTGTGAGCTGTTTGGTAAAATACAACAAGCGTTGTGTATTGTTTGGTAAAAGATTTGTATTGTTCGTAAAAACAGGCAAAACTTGCCTTTAACACACGTGCTCAATCAGAATGATGATTTCAGAGTACAGCATTATTTTGTCCTACGCGATTAA